CTGGGAAGTCGGTCCCTAATGCTTGTCTGCAGGGAAGCAAGTGTCAGCCTTCCCAAGGAGAGCCTCTGAACTTTAGTTATGGGGCCTAAAGGATTTTTTTCCCTGGTAAGGTGAAGGTTGCTCTTAGCTGTCTTACCAAAAATGTTCCAAATAACTCAGAGGTGTGGAAAACAGCTCTGTATCTATGGTACCTTGTCCCTTGCCTGCCCCTCACCTGGGCTCCTCCAAGGTCCTGCTGCTCTGAGCCTCTTCACTTATATTTTAAATCATCACTAAAGTTGCTAAAAACACTTTTACTCCCTCTTTTTGCACTTACTCCCTGCTTCTTCAGATAATGCTGTGTGTGACCAAGCCCACTCATCCCTAGGAGCTGACTTTCTGTACTGCCTTCATGTTGCTGGGGCAGACTTCTTGGTTGTGTTTTTTTCTCCAGGGAAGACAAATTTTAATTCCTTCCCAGGCTGGCAGGGTAAGAGAATGCCATTACCAGCCACCAGTGGAGCTGCTTCCAGAAAATGGTCACCATGGGCATGTCATAGAGTCATAGGATATCTCAAGTTGGAAGGGACCCATGAGTATCATCAAGTCCCAGAGCTGTGAAATCACTTCTGCACCCTGTTTTAAGAGACAGCTTGGCCATACACTTCTTTGTAACTTGCTTTCCACTGTCTCTCATCTGCTGTTCCCCTCGTTGGCCTGGGCAGTGACAGAGGTGGTTCTGTGTCCCCCACAGCGACGAGGCGTGTACCTGTGGCCAGCTGGTTGTGGCCAGCAGGGAGAGCCAGTACAAGATCTTCCATTTCCACCACGGTGGCCTGGATAAACTGTCTGAGGTGTTCCAGCAGTGGAAGTACTGCACAGAGACCCATCTCAAGGACCAGGTACTCCAGCAAGGTTCACGGGGCAAAGAGGTTTTTTTTTCCCAGCTGAAGTTTCACACTTGGGTTTTTGAGCCAGAGGAGTGTGTTGGGGAAATGAAGCTCTGAGTCCACGTCACCAGGTCAGGCAGAGAGCTGCAAAGTGCTGGGTGTTCAGGGTGCAGCTGTGAGTTGTGTGCAAGCTCTCTGGTACTGGCTTATCCCCAACCATCCCTGTGCAGCCTGTGGAGCATGGGGGGAGGTAATCCAGAGGACTTGCTTAGGGAGTTATTTCTAGACCCGAGAGGTCAGCAATGTGCTTTAGGCATGAAAGGTGGCTGGGAGATCTGCAGTGGTAGGTCTGAAATTCTGTCAGAGTCTTTCATCCATTTTGTGACGTGCAGCACACTGCTTTGGAAAATGTTTTGACAAGGCATCTGCCATATTTTGTTCAATCTACATACAAATGTGATAAGAGCTCTTTAATTATCTGTTTAAGATACTGTATGTGCTTATTAGAAACAGTGATTTCTAAATTTCCATCCTTCCCACAGAGCCCCCTGCTGCTTTTCTTATTATGGTCGCATGGGCTCACTTTTTGCATTGAACAACCTTTGATTTTTAAATTAAATGTCAGCTGCAGTCTTGCACTGGGATCATGAGTGCCCTTAGAGAGCCTGGCAGTGCAGTTCCCTGCCTGCCTAACAGCAATCCCTTTGTATATGGCCAATCATATGTAATTTATTGCAAGCATTCCTGGCAGGGTGAAGTTTTGCTGTAAGCAGCATTAATTCAGTTTCAGGTCAGGGATAAGATTGTGGGAGGAACGGAAAGAATTTTATTTTTAAGTCGAAGCTGTTTTGTGGCATTCAGAGTTTTAATTTTTCTAATCACTCTTGCTACTCTAATGGTTGGAATTGAAAAAAAACCTTCCCAAGTGCAGCACCCGAGCACTTAATCCTGCACGGGCCACGCAGAGAGGTTTTCCTGCTCTGAAAATCACCGGGTTTCATGCTCTGCTGCCACCTCTGGCTCCTGCCCCCAGTTTTTTGCCGTTTTCCCCCGTTCAGCAGCTCGCTGATGAGAAGACGTGTATGCAGTTCTCCATCCGCCGTCCCAAGCTGCCCTCCTCAGAGACCCACCCCGAGGAGAACACCTACAGGCGGCTGGACGTGGCTGCCTGGCTCCAGCACCTGAACGAGCAGGGTCAGGTGGAAGAGGAGTACAAGCTGCAGAAGGTGAGGGGGGGCTGCCACGGCGCCCGGGACCCTTCCTCTTGCTGCCACCCACATGAGTGCCCAGCCCAGGGGGGCTGCAGGAGTGTCCCTCCCTGCTGGGGGCAAGCATGGGGCCACTGAGAGCCCGGTGGCCACTGTAGTGCTCGGCTGGAGGTCTGGCTGGGGCTGCAGGTGGCTCTGGGGGAGCATCTCCCTGCCCCAGGAGCACGAGCTGTCCGGCTGCTGCCGCCTGGAAGGGGTGAGCCCAGGGGGCCGGTGCTCAGCGTGCTCACAGAGTGCAGTGAAACAAATCAAAGAAGGGAAAATTGAGGTTGCTGTGTGGAATAATGCAGGGCTTGCCAGGGAGCACTGGGTCCGGGTCCTGAGAGGGAAGTTTGCAGTGAAATGCAGTGTCTCCAAGGCTGAGGATTAAGCCGTGACATGAGAACGACACGTTAATCATAGAGCCTCTCCAGGGGGGGTTATTGACATTGAAATGAGCCCGATTTGTGTCTGGTCTGGGAATAGAAGGCCAGCACTTTCCCTCTAAACATGTGCAAATTGCAGGAGCTTGAATCAAGGCGTCACTTGTCACAGAGAACTCCAAAGCCACCAAAGCACAGCAGCGGGCAGTTTCTTCTTGCAGTTTTGGGGAATGTTAAAACTGCACCAGTCCAAACTTCTGCTCCTTCTCCCAGGCCATTTTCTTTGGGGGGATTGATGTTTCCATCCGTGGGGAGGTGTGGCCCTTCCTGCTGCACTACTACAGCTACGAGTCCACCTCAGAAGAGAGGGAGGCACTGAGACTGCAGAAGAGGAAGGAATACTTTGAGATCCAGGAGAAAAGGTAACGGACCAACTTCATCCCCCCTGCTCATCCCTCCCCAGGCTTCACATCGCAGGAGTACTGCGGGTGAGGTACCAAGTCCCTGCCTCCTCTGCTGCAGGAGAAGCCAAGCAGAGTGGAGAAGTGAGAGGGGTGGTGAAGGTGTACCAGGCACAGCTGAGCTCCTGGGGGTCTGGAGTTAATACCACGTAGCTCAAATATTACCTTACTTGGGGGCTTGGAAGGGG